CGGAATAGCGTCATCTTGTCGAACGTGCTTCTTTCTTATTAAGAGGGAACAAATGAAAAAACCGATCTCATTCGTTGCAGGGGAACTATCCATAGGAGTGTTAGCAACCACTCGATAGCTGAGACTTGAGGTTACAGCCTCACGCCGCCGATTTTAAAAAACACTCTCTTATGTCGTCGTAACATAGAGATCGAAAATTATGTTTCAAAATCGCATTTTGCCTCCATTTTTATCATGCGTATAATTCACTGGAAACCGAAAAGCATATCAGTGTTTAGAGGAACTTTCGTGGTATCTTAGTCAATCGATTTATCTGGAGTTTCGTTCGATGCGGAGGAATAATTCTTAATTCAATAACAAAATATCAATCGTCCCGCCTCGCTCCGCCCCTGGCACGGCCTTCGGCTTGTCGTATAGCCTGTAAGCATCACCAAAAATATGAAACTCCATCTTATCTTCTTCTTCTTCTTCTTCTTCTTCCTCTTCCTTCTTCTCCCTTCTTCTCGCCTCCTCCCCCTCCCCCCCCCCCCCCATGCTAAACAGTATTTAAAAAAAATAGGCACATCGCTAGAATCACAAAACGTTACCCTATCAGATGATTACTAATCGTCTGAAGAAAGAGTTCTGTCTGCGAGGTTTAGAACACAAATCGAAAAGCAGAGGAGTTCAAAAGAGCTTTTTATTCAACAAACACATTTTTGTGTTATTTGGAGCTTGTGCTACAAGTATGAGCACTAGCACTCTGAGGAAGGCGTTTTGTCCGGCGCAATAAAGGCGAGATAAGAAATGGAACATGATTTTCTTTCAAATCCTACGGTGTTAGAAGGAGGTATTTTGAAAAACTGGCAACGTGGGGCTGTACACACAAGTCTGAGCTACCGAATAGTTACTAACTTTCCTATGAAAAATTTTTCTACAGCGAATGAGATCGGTTTTACGTTTGTTCCCTCATAATCAAAAAGAACTAAAATCTGTTTTTGTGCTGCGATCTTGAAAGCACTCAATAGTGATCAAATATGCGACGGCTACACACCTTGGTCGACGAGAACTTATAGGATTGCATTCATTCCGACGATGTCAAGCGCTAATCCCACAATCGAAAAAAATTAGGGCAAGGGAAAGTGGGTATTGCCGACGGAATCTGACGATTTTTGACGTAGCTTGGTTGTGGTTGATGTGGCAGAATGTTTGTCAGAATCCTGCTTGCTCAGCTGGTTGTGCCTCATCCAGTTTGGTCGGACAGATATGCCTCGATGGTTTAGTGGTAGAGCACGCGTCCTCGGATAGGATGAAGAGCCGGTTCGATTCCCGACGAAGGCAATGTTTTTGCTGACCACTCAATTATCTAAGGAATATATGAAACATTATAACACTGCGAAAAAGGCAGTAAAAGCAATGGAAATTTTGAAATATTGATGTTGGACTTTTTTTTTGCCAATTTCATATCATGGCGGAATGCAGTAATGATCCCATCTTCGCTGATGAGGATTGTTAGCGGAATATAATAGTTGCGGAGATCCCGGCATCATTTCTCTATGCCACATTGCCTGGAGCTGCTTCTTATGACTCTTTGGCCTATTTCGATGTAAACCCTCTTTCAAAGGCCCTTTGAGGCTGCTATTTTGTAGCAAGGTAAAGCTTCAGTTCCCTTTTCTTTTCGAACAACTCATTGCAACAGCCATACGATTTGAGCCTCTTATTTGAGTAGCTGATACTGTTTAGGCACATGTCTTAGGTCCTTCGACAGGCAGAATGTAGTCTTTGTCGGGTCTTCCTTTATTTGACAACTGTATGAGAAAGGAATTTTTTTGACAACATCATTGTCATACACCACTTGTGTTTTTCTTACACGATGACAACACTTCTTTTCGACCTTATGGTTCAACTGACACTTCGCTGAAAGGCGATGATCACATTCCGAAGAGAATCCAGATTCCATTGAGCTATCTAGAAGCACCATTTTTTGCCTGTAAGTATGTGATCGATTTTCACATGATTCTCATGAGCCGTGCCGTTAAGAGGCTCTCGTGTTCATCGGAGATTCTCTTTGTTCTCGAAAAATGGGTTTCAGTGGAAGAGATGAGCTGCGGACAGTAGCCGTACATTATGGTTTCCGTTCTTTCTTCGTACTCCCATTTCGAATTATCCTCTGCTACATTCATTTTCGCTGTCCGCTCCTAATTTGGTATTGGAATGCCAAACAACAACTTTTTGGAGGGAGTTTTTGTTGCGGATGATTTACTCCAACTAATTGTAGCGTGTCTAATTTGCTCTCATCAATTTTACAGGGTGGTAAGTAGTAGAGTTTCGTATGAAGTGATTAAATATGGGTAAATGACAAAGCTTCCGACATTTTGCAATAGGAATTTCCTATTACGAGAGATACTTTTCAATAATTTTTTGATTAATACTGTAGTTCAAGAGTTGAAGCCTCTATTGAATTATAAAAGAGTCCTTGTTCCGTCGTCCCATGGACAATAACTATTATCTATCCACGTGTTCTGTCTGTGAACTTAATCTATCATTGCTACTTTTAATACTAGACATGCGCACAAATTTAACGTGCTTTAGTTACCTAATTTCTAGTTCAATGCACTAGTTGTGGTTTTCTGTTCCTCGTCCAATCCTCGTTGAAGAATTGGAGATCCTACAAACATCTTGCTTAACTGCAGCGGTGAGGCGTTGCTGACAAAGCAGGGACAACATAGAAAGCGATGTACTTGATGGAAGTGTAGCTTTACGAATGATGACTCAGACGTTAAAGAACAAGATAGTTCAATTGATACCGAAGCAGTGGATTGGTGATCGAGGAATGTGGTGTCGTCCACTATACCACCTCCAGTGAGATAGGAGCAGACGTTCTTCAATCCCACGTTCTGCGCTATTGGGAGAAGCCAGTCGATTTCTTCTGACTGCTGATAAATGACTCTTGGAGTTGATTTTGGAGCAGACGAATTTTCTAAGATTGCAGAAAAACGAGAACTGAGATATTACGATGATCGATGAGATGAGGAAAATCATTGGCTTGAGCTTTCAGATTAGTGAGATACAATTACCGTATCTGAAAAACTACTGGAGCAGTCATCCATCTCTAAAAACTCTACTTTGAAGATAGATATTATGCCGAGGAATTATTTCTTTATATCATGGCTCACTTACATGCAGTCGATAAAATATGTGCAATATCGCCCTAGATAAGCAGATGGAACTCCTTCGTCGATTTCCTGACGTGTTTTCGAAGGACCATCAACCCCACCAAAACACCATAGGCGTTGTATTGAATGATAGAGAAAGTTTGAAGAAATAAAATGACGTGCCTATGTTTAAAAAAACTAGACACGTTTCTGCGAGGTGCAGCTGATGTGAGAACAACGTTTGCGTGGAATGCTTCTGATCGGGACTACCATTCTGAACGGTTTAGATATTCGTCTTAGAGAATGTATATTCCGCGCATGCTTTTTTATACTGTATACTGTAGAATAGGGCTCCGTGGCCGAGTGGTTGTGACGCGTGCGTGGAGCCGAGTTTCCCACCCCCAAACTCTCTCCGGCAGTTAATAACAATGCCTTATGGAAGGCCACAGCAAGGCTATGCTCGAGATTGCAAGGAGATTCGCTCAACCCGTATTCTACGCCATTCGAGAAGAATGACAAAAAAACGAATCGAATGCTAGAAATACTGAGATCCGCCTAGCGGAAAAAAATACTGTGATGACTGATCAAATAAAATAGCGATAAAAAGAAGATTGTAGATTATAGTGTTTCCAAATTTGGCTGCTGTAGGATGTAAACTACTGTTGATTACATTGGGATACACTAGCTGTTGATCGTGTGTCGGAAGCAAGAGCAGGATTGATGATCGGTGCCAATGTATAAGTGGGGATAAATTGTCGTCAACCAATGATGAGCGTATAATTTATTGGTGAATATCCTTAGCAAGCGGTTCACAACATCATCGAAATGTTAAAAAGATATGAGTTGAAAAGTCTTCTTTTTGCAAAGCACAAAGTGATGAATGCAAGTTCTTTCTGGATCCACTTTGACTACATACTAAGAATGCCTTCGAATAAAATTTCATAGAAGTTCCACGTTGTCGAAAATGTGCTTTCAATTTGCACTTTTACAACATCGTCGAAAGAAATGCGATAAATGAGAGATGCGATGGTTTCTGCAGGACCCAGTTTTTGTACTGAAAACTGAGGATTTTTGAGACAGCTAAACGTTCTTCATACTATAAAAACGTTCATAACAGTCACTCCAGTAGTAATCTACCTTTCTGCAGCGACAAAATTTGTTTAGAATCAAAATTTATTGATTAAACACCGATAAGTTCGCTGCCAAATTGAAACAACAGGGCTAATTACTGGGAAATCAAATCGTTATCTGCTTTTGTTAGTGGCATAAAAAGTAGATGTTCTTTTTAGAAACCAGGCTCAGTATTAGAATTTGTAAACCTCAGACTATTGAATGGCTGCAAAAACAAAAATAATATGATAAAAAACTCTTATAAAGCTGGAAGTATCTTCCCCTTTCGCCACAATGTAGCTCTCTCCTTGAGACATAGAAAATTTTTCAACGCTTGGGAACTCTTTTATTTGAGCTGTTCTCACAAAAGTTTTCTCAGTATATTCTATTTTTTAGTGAAGACAGCGTTTCCTCCAGATCTTGATTTTGCAGATTTGTATTGCAGAGTGCATTAATATTCGTAAACCGTCCGAACAGCGCGAACAACCCTGCCTCGAAAACGATGCACGGTGACCCAAAGGGGTTAAAAGAGCGTGTGAACCACTGGATTCATTCAATCTCAGCTAGACCTCTTTCGACACCCGGAAACACCTCTAAGACATGATAAGGTGAAAAACTTGAAAAATGAACAAACATTTCAATTTTGCTCTATAAGCTGCATAATTTGAACAAATTCTCTTTGTTACTACTTTACGGAGGCCACCGCTTTGCTATTACCATCTCTTCGATAGTTTATGTTCGCGACTTTCTTCAAAAGATCTTGTGGTGAAGTGGTTATCACAGATGTCTAGCACACAAAAGGTCGGGGGTTCGAGTCCGCCGGAGATCATACGTTATGAATTCCCATGTTTAAATAGTTTTCAACAGATGATCATGAATGGTGTATAATCCGCATTGAAAAGAGAACTGATTAGTTAACAACTAACAAGGTGTCGCGTTATAGTGGTTATCACATCTGTCTAACACACTTAAGGCCGGTGGTTCGAGTCCGCCCGAGATCATAGGTTTTGAATTCACATGTTTAAATCACCTGTATCACCTGCCACCCCGCTGATCGTCGAGTGACTCGAGCGGGTACCATCAACACTTCCAATATTTCCCTTTGCGTGCAAGATTAGCCCAGTGCGTCCACCCCGCTCTAGAATTCGCTGAGCATAATATCTTTCTGCTATAGCTTTCGTAAAGAAATCCGGCTAACCGGTCGGTGGTCTTCCTGTAGAGCGCTTGATGTTCCGAGGAATCCAGTCGGTAACGGCTCTCGTCCATCGGTTGTCGTTGAAGCGCATCACGTTTCCGGCCCACCTCATTTTCGATAACCTGCTGTGTAGAATGGCGTCTCTGATTTTCGATCGTTGACGTAGGTCGGAACGTTCGGATCCTTTCTCTCATTTGCGAGATACGGGATACTCCTAGCATCGACCTTTCGACTGCGCGTTCGATAAGGCAAGTGATCTTTCATCCTGCTTACGTAGCGACCAGGCTTTCTGCTGCATACGTTAGGGCAGGGATAATTGTCGAGTCGAAAAGGTGGGCACGGAGTCGGATGTTCTTTGTCCTCTTCACTAAATCTTCGATGCTCTTAAACGTTCCCCTAGCCGCTCGTTTCCTCCTGCTCAACTTTGAAGCTATGTCGTTCGTCATGTTGATCTCACGACCTAGATAAACGTGACTGGAGCATTCGGAAATTGTCGTTCCGTTGAGCGTGAATGGGGCATTAGAAACCCATCCGTTCCTCATGAACATGGTTTCCGTTAGATTCAGTTGAAGACCAATCTTTCCACAGGCGTTGTCGAAATCGGTCAACATTCGTTCCGCTTGGCTGATGCTTGGTGTTATGAGAACGATATCGTCAGCAAATCGAAAATGGTTTGATTGCCGACCGTCAATTTTCACTCCTATATCACCACATTCTAATGTTCGCATGACGTTTTGTAGGATGGCAGTGAATAGTTTTGGCGAAATTGTATCGCCTTGTCAAACCCCTCTTCTTACGTCAGTGGAGATATTGTTGTAGAATGGAGATATTTTGGTCGTGAAATCTTTATAAAGCTCACGAAGGATCATCGTGTAATGAGTAGGGACGCCCTGGTTATCCAGAGCCTCTATAACCGCTTCTGTTTCCACTGAAGCGAAAGCTTTCTTCAGCTCGATGAAAGTGAGACAGAGTGGTTGCTTGTACTCTCGTGAAACTTCAGTGAGTCTTGTATTTGTGTGGATGTGGTCTATGGTGCAAAATCCTTTTCGGAACCCTGCCTGTTCGCATGGCTGTCCTTCGTCCAGTGTTCTGTCAATCTTGTTTAGGATGACTCGATAAAGAGTTTATAGACAACGGACAGCAAGCAGATTGGGCGATAATTGCCTATGTTGTGAGGGTCTCCCTTTTTGAACAACAATACGTGGAGACCTTGCATTCCGACAGGTAGCGAGTGAGGAGCTAAGCTAAGGCGTTGATGAGAACTGGCGGCAGGTTCTTCAAGTGTTCTGCTCTAATGCTGTCTGGACAGGGTGTTTTTCTGTTCTTCACCGACGATATAGCATGTCGGATTTCGGAGGGGAGGACCGGTGGGACGACATATTCGTCCTCTTTCAATTTGTATGATGGTAAGAGGACATGGCCAGCGAAGAGATCCGAGTAGTATTGGTGGATGATTTTCTCCATAGACCTTCTCGAAGCTGTAAGTGTCCCGTCAGGGTATCGGAGTGCAATCATCTTGGTCTTATAGTTGGCGAAGCCTTGCTGGACTTTGCGAATGCTCTTCCCAGCTTCTGCTGCTTCTGCCATAACTGCTGCTCGTCTCTCTTTGAGGTCTTCTTTAATCGCTTCTCTGCAGCGTTTCGCAAGTTCGGACGTGAGGTTTCGGTTGCTTGTAGCTCGTGCGATTCCACGTTGACGTATCAGCTCGAACGTCTGCGGAGACAAGCGTCTCTTCGTGACCTTAAAACTCTCGGCTTTTATAGCGCTAACGTGAAGATATTCAACGAGCCAATCGTATTCTTCGTCGATGTTGTCGTCAACGGTATCTTTCCAAGAGCCGACTTATGATTTGAATACATCCCAACTTATGGTAGACCTGGGACTTCGTTGTTTGAATTTAGCGGCTTTCTCTCCTCTCCGCGAAAAACGAAACGTTGCGCGGAGGAGGCGATGATCTGATCCCGTGTAGAACTTAGGAACAACAGCGACATCGGTCAGGCTAAACCTTCGATTTACTAAGATGTGGTTTATTTCGTTATGGTATTCTCCATTGGGAGACTCCCACGTCCATCGCTGAGAGTGAGGCTTTTGGAATTGTTAGTCACCATGGATGGTTTGGGTTGTCATGATAAACTCGGATAGCCTTTCACCCTGTTCATTCCATACTAGTCCGTGGGTCCCAATGTGGCGTTCTTCAGACGTTCGTCTAGTTCCAATTTTTGCATTAAAATCTCCGATAATGACCTTCAAAAATGTATGATCTTCTCTGAAGAATTTTTCGAGGTCCATAGAGAACGCTTCGACTTCGTCTTCGTCATAGCTTGATGTTGGTGCGTAAGCAACGAAGATGGTCAAAGCCGGCATAGAACCACATCGTTTCAACCGTAATCGTCTGATACGGGTTGTTAGTTGTTCAAACGAACCGATGTTCACGATCAATTCGATTTGGTCAGGACGTCAACGTCGCCGTCACCTCTGCTATCGCATGTTCCAAGGAACAGTTCTTCTCCGGTGTCATAAACAGCGTGAAAAGGATGGCGCCTTCTCGTCTCAGCCAGGCCAATGATGTCGTACCTTATCCTTCTTGCTTTAATTAATAGATCTTCTAGAGCGATTCGTGAACAAGGGCTTTTGCATTGTAGGTACAGATCGTCATTTTAGTCCGTTTCGATCTTGGCAGCCTAGTTTGGCCGTCAGATTTTAGCAGCCTCTCCGTACTCGTCCTACCTGGCGCTGCCGCACCAGGGGATCTTTCGGGGTCAGGGGAATGAGGCCCATATTTGTTGCTGTTTTTTGGCATTTTGGTACCCAACGTATAGCTTGACAGGTTGTGAAACATGGGGGCTGAGTACTCACGAGTACCTTGCCAGTTTCTCTCGGAGGAGCGGGAGGACCTTATTTGTTGGAGGCGACTCCTAACCGCCTCCCATGTACTTCTCAGTCGCTTGATTACAGGCTTTTGTCCGACTTGACTCGTTTAAATAGACTTCTGTCAAATCGGCGCTGCCGAAGCAGGGAGCTCATCCTCTGAATCCACCTGCGTCTTTAGGATGCACACGGTCGCTTTTGGTTCGCGTTTATTACCCTATCCACCACATGGGGACGCGCCACGTGCCCTCGCGACTAACCGGGCGGGATCCCTCAAAGAGGGACGTCCATGTTTAAATATTTACAAATAAATGACCACTTATGCTGCGTAATCCGCACTGAAAAAAGAACTGATTAGTACACAATCAAGAAGATCTCGTGGTGTAGTGGTTATCACATCTGTCTAACACACGGAAGGCCGGCGGTTCGAGTCCGCCCGAGATCATATATTTTGAATTCACATGTTCGAATCCATTTAATTACAACATGAGTTCAAAATGCTTCGGCATGTCTATACATCGTGGGCATCTGTTCTTACCATGCTATAATTTACAGTATTTGATTATAGCGGCAAGAAGGATGAACATTCTATACTTGATCGGCACTAATAGAATCTTTTTTTACTACTCTCATAAAAAACTAAATCAAATGACTTCCTTATTCTCCCAGCGCATGAAATTCCGAAGAGAAATTCATCGTGCAGATGACGAGGATGATAAGAATTGATAAGATATGGGAAAAACATGTCCATGCTAAAATTGTGATCTCCATTTAAAGTGGGCTGTATGCACTGTTTACAAAGGTTCAGTGCTTTTATCAACACATTCTGTACGAATACCATGATCCTCATAGAGATCTAGACTAAGAGTGGGCAATTCAAGCACTTTGGTGTCCGTCATCACGGTGTTTTTTTTTTCATTGTGAGGATCTCAGCACTTTGGCATTCAATCGTTCTTCGTCATTTTCTTGAACATGTAAAATAATAATTGAGCGCGTCTCCTTGCAGTCTCGAGGATAGCATGGCTGTGGCATTCCATAAGGCGTTCGCAGGGTGAACAACAGCAGATAATTTTGAAAGCTGATAGATCAACTGAGACAGTGAATGTCATTTCGCCTCACCTAATGTTCACGAGAGCCTTTCAACTCCTAAGCGTGGATTTGGCTGCTGCAGGATTTTCGTTTCGCCGTGAATGATATTGAAATGGGGTCGCGACAATTCTCCATGGAGCTTCACAATGGCCGAGCTACAGTGTTCCCAGTGGATTGTGAACTTCTGCCGTGTAAGTTTGTTACCAGTTATCCGACTTTGGAAGGACAAAAGGTTTGATGGTATCGAAGCGCTTTGAACCAGCACTATGTGCTCGTAGTGATCGGCGTCACTATCCCTGCTCTGTTCTTCTCTGTAGGAAAAGAAATTGTGAATAAGCAGGCTCTTCAAGGATAATCTGTACACATTGATAAACGCTTGGGTTGTGGCCGCATTACGCGTTTCACCGCCACAGAAACCTCTACACGCATCATTTCGATGACATTCTATAACTATGCACAAAAAACCTTTTTTTTTTCACCCTCGTCCCAACAGTATTTGCGTAGCGAACCTCAAATAAAGTAATAAAATGCTTGATTAATTATGTTTTCATGCTTTAATGAGTTTTTTTTTAGACAATGCCTCATCTGTTTTAGAGAAGCTATCAATAGAAACGCAAACAGTGTAAGAAGGGCACATTTCTGTATCTGTACTCTGTTTCGACCAATTAAAAAAACTAGTTTTTGGTTGATTCTAAAGCCTAAGTAGTCATTCAATAGCTCAAATCAAAAGAAATTGATTGGTGCGCTTTATTTTTGAATCGCTCTATTATTGCGTTTCAACAACAGATAAAATTATGTTTCTTATTCAAACATTTGCCACTGAACAAAGCTATCTTTTAGACTTTCAAC